AATTAAAATACAGTTCTGTGCAAAATTTTAAAATATAAAAAATTTTGCAGTTTTTTGCAAAAAATTCTGCAAAAATCTGCATTTTTGCAGATTTTTGCAGATTTGCACTTATTTAATTCTCCCAATGTAAAACTATTAATTTTAAAATAAATTTAGATAAACAATTAAATATTGGTAGTATTTCAATCACAATTTTATTTAAATTAATATTTAGAATTATAATTTTAATTTATTTGCTAAATTAAATTTACAAAATTTTTAGCTTGTTTATTAGTTTTATTTTTAAAATATTCTATATAATCATTATAAATAAATTTAATTTTACTATCATCAAAATATATATTTTTAATTGTATCTTTATATCATCTAAAATGGTTATATTTTTTTTGCTACATGTTAAAATAGTTTTTCATGTTTTTGTTTTTATTTTTTAACTCATTGTAATTTTGCTAATTGTTTTTTTAATTCACAATTATATAATAATTCAAGAAAATTGCTGCTTGTAAAATTACTATAAAAATCTTCAAAAATAGTAATTTCATTTTCACAAGCTTCCTTATATAAAGTCACACAAATTAAATTAATTGATTTTTATATCCTAGCCAGGTTGGTAAAATAGAATTTGGAAATTTTTTTTTTTAATATAGCTAGCCAATATTTTAATAAAAAATTTCTAAAATTTGAATTTTAGTATTATATTTTCAAATAAAAACTTCCAATTTTAGCTTTAGCTATAACAACCAATGTTATACAATTAATTTTTTTTTGTATTTTTTGGCAATTTTATTTATAGCTGTTTTTATTATTCCTAGTATATCTATAAAAAATTAGCTAAAAAAAATTTTTGTCTAGTAATTTTTTGGCATAGTAAATTTGATAAAAATTAATATAATATTGTAATACCATAGATTCTCAAAAATAAGCTATCTTTTTTTGGCCGATTTTAAACTCAAAAAATCAAGGGTAGCTTATTTTCAGAATATAGAAGTTTTTAAGCAATTCATGCTTAATGTTAGAAGTAGCTTATTATCAGGTGTTTATTTTAAAAAATTAGTTTTGTTTTTATATAGCACTTTATTTAATTTATTTTTACTGGAAATAATTTTTTTTAATATAACACCCAGATTTGCAAAAGCAAATATGTATATCTACTACTTAAAATTTATTTTTTAAAAAAAAAATTTGTCATTTTAATACACAAACTTCAATTTTTTTTGACATGCATCAAATTTACAATGATATTTATAATCTAAAAAAGATAATAGTCTTAATATATATAAATAGCTTTAGTCAACAATTCAAAAAAAAAAGTCACTTGCTATGTATATGTAAAAATTTCACTTATATTATAACTTGAAAAGGATATAGACTTGATATACAGTATAAATATTTATATATTATACAATCTTAAAGTTGAATTGTCGTTATAGTTCTTAAAACACTACTATTACTATCAATTGTTGTTATGTTAGTAATTAGTTAAATATTAGAACACTATTAATTAATTGAATATTATCGATTAATATGAAAACCTTATGAATTTTTTTTAGTAAAAAAAAAAAGATAAAATCAATGCTTTTACAATATACTGTAATTTAGATTTTAAAAAACCAAGCATAAAAAAAAAAATTACTTGTCAAATGCAATAAAAAAAAAAACTTTATCCTTTTTTTTTTTTAAGAAACTTTTTTTGTCATCTCAAGTTTTAAAAGAACCTTCAATCTTTTTTTTTTTTTTTTGAAAAAAATAAAAAGACAAAAATTCTGGTTGATATTTAGTATAGATGAGAATATATAAATAATTTAAGATTATTTAATATAAAAATAATTATTTAAACTAATCTAAACAGATTTGAGAATAGTTAAAGTTAGAGTAAGGGTTATAGTATAGTTTTTAGTAGCTTTGGGTTAGAGTTAGAGTTTTTTTATATTAAATAATCTTATAATATTTATATATTTCCACCTATATTAAATAAGATCCAAAATTCTTATATAGTTGAGGAAAAGAATAAGGTTGTAGAATTGACTTGTCATATTTCAAATTCATATGCAGCATGGCACTACTCCTTGGATTTAACCATGCTTGGTTGTTGGGTTAAGAAGTTTTTTCAAACTCCACATTCTTCTCAAAAGAATATACAAAGTATTGGCTCTGGATGCCATGTACTTTTTTCTAAAAAAGAGTCTCAACTTTTTAAGTAGATAATGGATGTTCGCCAGAATAGTTTCACGGTTACTTACTCTAATATAAAATTTAAAATGGCCAAAATCTTGGATAATAGTACTAAAAAAACAAAAGATAAATTTAAAAGGCTTGCAATTGAAAAGTTTAATATCTCAACACACTGGGTTAGTCGTTTTTTAAAATGGTATAATCTTTTTTTTCGATGTAAGACCAAAATTGCACAGAAGTTATCAGAGGATCTTGAAAATCAACTGCTTAACTTTCAGTAGTTCGTTATTTGCCTTTGTCAAAAAAATGATTACTTTCTTGAAATGATTGCAAACATGAACAAAATGCCAGTTTATTTTGATATAGCAGGTGTCATAACTGTGAACACCAAAGATGCAAAGACAGTTCATGTTAGAACAACTAGAAATGAGAAGAACTAATTTACAGTAATCTTGACCAGTGTGTGAAATTCAATGTTCTCAATGTTCTCTGAGAACATAAAAATTTTAGATTACACTTATATGAGAACATAAAAAATTTCAAAATCTATTATATAGATGTTCTTGTGAGAACATAAAATTATATTTGAATTTCACACACTGGTTCTGACATGCCTTGCTAATAGTAAAAAACTACCACCAGTTATTATTTTTAAAGGAAAGATTTGACCAACTAATACACTACAACCTCTAGCTAGTATAATAGTTTGGTTTCAAGAGAAGAGATAGATGAATAAACAGAGAATAAATAAATAGATAAAGTATTGGAATAATATTTGACTAGGACTATATAATTTGAAAGCATTGCTAGTCTTTGATTCTTTTTCAGCTTATATTACAGATCAGATAAAGGCAACGTTTTGTTTAAAAAATACAGATTTGGCTATTATTCCCGAGGTCTTACTAGTATGTGCTAGCCTCTTGATATCTATATCAACAAACCTTTCAAAGATAAGCTTTATAAGTATTGGTATAGATGGATGACAAATGGTGGCAATGGTATGACTAAAAATAGAAACTTGAAGCAAAATATAGTATGTTATTGAGTTTTGACTTGGATGATATTTCTGAAGAAATTATTATTTAGGTATTCAAAAAATATAGTATCTCCAATTGCTTGTCAGAAAGTGAGAACTATTTGATTTATAATAACAATGATGAAAAAAATTCCAAGGAAAATTCAGATAATAATGAATCTGATAATAAAGAGAAAGAATCTGATGAAGATGAAAAGAAAGAATCTGATAAAGATGAAGAGGAGGAATCTAATGAAGAACCCAATAAAGAAGATAAAGAGTCTAATGAAAACTATAAAACTGGTGATGAAAATGAAACTAGTAATATGATGGATAATTATAAGTGGCCAGAGTACTGGGTTGTTATTTGAAAGGCTTGATTTTGCGTATTATATAGGATAAGAGTTATTATCTGAAAAAAGCATAATTTTATATATTTTTTAGGGTAAGAATTAAATTTTATTAATAGATTTATATTTCTTGACCAAATATGTAGGTGCAATACTACTACTTATTAGGTAGCTTTTAAGTTAGCTTTTTTTTTTTTTTTTTTCTTTGGCAAGTCTCGCCATGATTTTGGTCTTAGCTATTATATAGTTAACCCTAGTACGCATGCTACTTAGTGTTACAGGACCTTCATAACCCTATACGGGTATTATGTATATCCACCTGAAAATTTATTGCCCAACATTTTCCAGTTCCCTCATTAGGCCCTAGATCTGACCGCCTGCACAACACTTCGGAGAGGTCAAATTACCTTACTATTGTACTAGGATTTCACTAGCCAATCTGATATCGCTACAAGTTCTTGTAGTATCTTTATCAAACTCGGTCTTATATTATGTCTTGTAACTTCGGGTATTCCAAATCAGGGTTCTAACACATCTCGCTTCACAGCCACAACTTCTCGGAATAACTATTTCCTAAATATGTCTATCTGTAAATATCCCGGGTTCCCTGTATCTTACAGTGTTTCATTTCCATTTTCAAATTTTCATTAATTTGCCATTGGGAGGAATTGAACCAGCAACTATTCGATTTGCAATCTGAGAGTATAACCGCTATGTTATCGATCCGCAGGTCTTAAGTTAGCTTTTCATTTTAATAGTCATTGTAATGATATAATAAAACATAATAAAATTTGAGATTTATGGTTATTTTTGGTAGCATGTATCTCTTTATTATTTATTAATTTTACCAGATATTGGGTCAAATATATGAAAAATAAATGGGCAATAAAGATATTTTAAGTATATTTAAATATTTTAAGTTCTTGTACTGAAATTATTATTTAAATAATATATTATATGTACAAAAACTAATATATAAATACTGTAATTTATCAATTTAATAAAGATATATTTACAAATGATTAATTTGATAGAAAATCAAAATATATAATTTATTTTTTAATTGTATATTTATTGCTCATAATATAATAGAATTACTTAGTATTAAACTGGTCGTTCACAACCCATTTATATATAAACTGTATGCTTTATCTAATAATTAGAAGCAAATAAATGATTTTATGCTTATATGTATATAAATATTTATATTATCATGTTTTGTAACAAAAAAAAATGTACTCGATTCAAAGTAAATCTCATATATGATTTGATCAATTAAAACTAATATAAATAATTTAGTTTTAATTAATCACACTATATATAGGATTTACTTTGGATCAGGTATATTATCTTCTGTTATATTTTGCTAGATTTCAATAAATATATTACCGAGTATTAATATTTGAGTTTAAAAAAAAAAATAAAACAATACGTTACCTCTAGTGAAATCTAAATTTTACTTCATAATCAATATATTGCTCAAATTTGGAAAAAAGAGATAGCTTATTTTTAAAATAAAAATTTATATTATTGTTTTTAGTTTGAAGAAGCAAAGTAGTATATTTTTGAATATAAGAGTTTGCTAAGCTTTTTAATCAAATTTAAGGAGTAGCTTATTTTTAGAAATCTACAGTAGTATTAACAGGTAGTAAGAACTAGCTGTTGACATATTATTGAAGCCAATTGCAAGATAAAATAAATCTTACTATAGCAAGTTGTATATAGATACTTAGTGAGCAACTAGGTGAGTCTCCACTTGTAATTTAGATACTATAGAGTATAACTCTGTAGAAAATTTTAATAGTTTAGATAATTATTACAAAGTTTAATAAAGTGAAGGCAAGAAAACTCCAGACATCTAAAATATAGATCATATATGAACTTTTCAGCAAAACCTTCGTAAATTTAAAGAGCAAAAAATCACATATTTGTAAATATCTTAGCAACCAGTAGTCCAATTCGGATAAACTTTTTTTTAAATAAAAGCTCTCAGTGAGACACTTCTTTTAAAAAAAAAATTCATTCAATTCTAATTACTAGATCCGGAGATATTTAAGAAAAAACAAAATTCTAGTTTTTAGCAAATTAGGCCAAATTGGCCAAAATCCAAATATAACCTATATTGGAAATGTCCAGGGTTCTAAGGCAAGACTGCCAAATTTATTAAAAAAAAAAAATGTTTTAATGTTTTTGATATGCAATTTGAATTACAAAATCAATTTTTTTTTTTGATTATTATATCGAGTTTTCTATTCATATTTTAATGTATTATTTTGTTTAATTAGTTCTTTATTGATTTTATTTATATCTTGAACATGTTTCTGGCTTTCTATTATATAGTTATATACATAATCTAATCATTTTTTAAAGTCTTCTATTTCAATTTTTTTTTTTTTAACAATTTGGCAGTTATGCCTTTGCTTTATTAAGCTTTGTAATAATCATCTAGACTATTAAAATTTTAGAGAGACTTATCAGTAAGTAATAAACTCTGAACATGTCAGCAGATAGCATATAAGAACTATCTTTAAATGACATGCACTATGCTCGAGGGCCATATAACTATACCTAAATTACAAGTAAAAACTAATCCAGTTGCTCAATAAGTATCTATATTTGACCTGCTATAATAGGATTCTTCTTCTTCCGAACCTCTTTTGCAATTGGATATGACCTGGCTCTTAACAGATGGTACCTACTACCCGTCATGACCACCTCTTCCTTCTTTCAGGCTTCTTTCACCTAAGCCCAACAACAAAATTAAAACCCTTATTCATACATAAAAGTGAAAAAAATAAAGCTATGTTTATGAAAGACATAAATATTTTAGAAAAAAAAACACCTCATGGTGGGAAAAAAAAACTTTTCAACAAATTCTAAAATAGTCTAATATAAATAAACCAAGATAAAAAAAGC